AAATACTGAAATGAACAAAGGCCAATAACTTGTGGAAAAATTGTCGGATCAAATTCTTTTAAGGGAGACACAACTTCATATCATGATTATAATGTATACCAAGTTTCAAATAGATCTGTCGAAAAATGTAGGAGGAGATTGACGGACAAACAAAGTTTACGCCGGGCGGCCGGACAACGACATACCATATTACTACCATCAAATTTGACGGTCGTATAAAAAGTTAAACTTCTCGCTGTGAGTTCATTGAAGCATTAAAGTGGCCAGTCACACTTTTTTTTTAAAAACATACATATATATATCATATATTTAGTTAAATACCCTGGACAGCATCCATTCTGATATTTATTTGTAATGAGTATTATTATCGGCACATAACAAATATATATGTTATGTTTATGGTACGCCTGCGGAAAAAGTATTGTAAGTAAGTATGTATACATGAAGCAGACATGTAAAGGCAGGCATACGTAGTTTTTTTGTGTTTTTTTTATGTTAGAAAATATTTATTCAACATAAGATTATATGGAGATTTTCTGGCTTCAACCATGCATGTTTAAAACAGATAAAAGAATCTTGCAGGATAGGCACTAAAATCAAGGTTGGTAGACTAAGAGCTACTGAAAACACAGATATCAACTTTTTATGGCTTTTATATAAAGATATATAGACGTAACATAAAATCAGTCACCATAAAACTTAAATTCTCCCATTGTGACAAATATGCACTAAAAATTTAACACTGGAAATTCATACTTAAGAAAATACTTTTTGTAGTGTATGGACCTAAGAATGCTGAAACTCTCGTCCAAAATCAAAACTATCAATTCTTTGCTTGTTTACAGATAGATACCTAACTACAGTAACAGAAGAGAGTGCCCCCACTTATCTATTGTTGACAGACACTGAGACACTGTCATGTTATATAATTATTTCCTGTAAAATTTATGTTGTTTCTTCTTTATTCGTACAAGGAAAGACAAAAATAGGTTGTGGGCCTGTTTTTTTTTTCGAAATAATTGTGAGTGACAGGAGCAGCAACACTATAAATACCATCACCGATAACACAATGAACAAGACAAGCTCCTTGTTTTATAATCCAGAAGTAAGTGGATTAAATCCCCCGTAGCAGAGATGTTTTTGTGAATAACTTTGTGAAACTACATGTATGACAGACACATTTTTGTCAAAAAGATAACAATTAAGCAACTTTTTTGCCAGAAATTGGAACTCTTTTGCATTGGAGATGCAACAAAGAGTCTGGGCTCTTTCTTGACCTTTGGCATTTATAGTCATTTCAGAATTTAGGTTATCATTTTTTGAAAAGAAAATTCTGCCTTGCAGGACTTTTATGAAAGCAAAATGGAGATGAAATAAACAAAAAAGAATCAACAAACCTGTTCTGTTCATGAGTATACATATATATATATTCTACCAGGCCAGATCAGGATTCGAGCCCTGGACTTCAGATTTTTATACCATGACTATGAGCTAAATGGAAAATGTAAGTGTACCAGCCCAAAATGTGCTACAGTAATATCCAAATGGAATTTTAGGGGAGGTTACTGTGTATATTGGAAAAACGGCAGTGCAGTGGGACAGGGATCATTGAAAATTCAATAAAAATGCATGTAATGACATGATAATCAAATCAAATAATTCTCTTGCAACAGATAGACTGTAATTTTAATGAATCAAATAATTCTCTTGCAACAGATAGACTGTTAATTTAATGAGCTATGTGTCAAAACTCTTGAGTGTAACAAGTGTTGTATCAATTGATAAAAGAAAAGAAAAATGAGCTATGTGTCAAAAGTCTTGAGTGTAACAAGTGTTGTATCAATTGATAAAAGAAAAGAAAAATGAGCTATGTGTCAAAAGTCTTGAGTGTAACAAGTGTTATATTAATTGATAAAATAAAATAAAATGGGAATGGACCTCAGGGTGTGGTATAATTACAGTATATTATATAAGGTTATGACACAGAGTTAATCTGCCAAATGGACCAAATGGTATATGTATCAGAAATATAAGTTATGTGCAGCTCCGCCAGACCCCAGGATATCGAAAACAATGTGCAGCTCCTCCAGACCCCAGGTTATCAAAAACAATGTGCAGCTCCTCCAGACCCCAGGTTATCAAAAACAATGTGCAGCTCCCCCAGACCCCAGGATATCAAACAATGTGCAGCTCCGCCAGACCCCAGGATATCAAACAATGTGCAGCTCCGCCAGACCCCAGGATATCGAAAACAATGTGCAGCTCCTCCAGACCCCAGGTTATCAAAAACAAGAGTTTCTTTGCGCTTCCATGGACCCAAAAGTACCTGGAATAGAGTTATGTGCACCTTCCCAAGACCCCTGGGTATCAGAAGAAGAGTTTTGTGCACCTCCCCCGGACCGCAGGGTTTCAGAAATAGGGAGCTATTTACCTCCCCTGTTGGAACTCTTTTTTCAGTGCATCAGGCATCATTATGGGCTAATAATATTACTATGTTGAAATACGCAAGTAGTTACAATATAACATTACCAATTTAACATATTTAATAATATCATAGCTATTGAAGAACAATCCAAATACATGTATTAAAAAAATAATGAAGTTTTGCTTTGAAAACAGGACAACAATATTGGCTTCTTGTTAAATAATCCTTTCAAAATTATACCATTATGGTAAAATTAATTAAGCAATGAAGGTTTTAGCAAATGGTGTTGTTAATTACTTAAAGTTTTAGTTATTTTATGCTCTTAGCATTATTTCATGACAGGGCTTTTTTTCACTCTTTCTGGAATTGGGTTCATGGCTTTAGAATCGAGAAAAATGTCTCGGTCAACCAAATTGGGAATTTTCTGAATTTTAACAAATACTTATTTCTTTTATTATTGTTTCATTTGTGAAATATCATCTAAAAGACTAAAATATTCTTGCTGTTGCATTAATTGTCATCTGAATTAAGTCAAGAAAAGAGCAAAAATGAATAAGCTTTGCACAAGGTTCTAGTAACAGTAAAACTAGTGTTGTCACATTCAAATCGGTGATGTTACAATGGTGTTAGTCTTATTACAGGTACTTCAGTCTCTTATGCAATATGTGTTTCAGCAAACAAGTTTTAGAACTTTTCGTTTTAGCAAAATAGTTTTATATAGTTATCATATATGAAAAACAAAAAGTAATTTAAGGTAAAGCTAGGGCAGCAGTGCATTAGTTATAATCGTGAATAAAGTTCCACTCAGACTTTTTCCCTTGGACTTTTCTCCCTTCTAGGTAAAAGATGAAGTGCCCAACAAAAAGGTTGTTTTTCTGGATTAGAGTAAATTCCCCTGTCAAGTTATGTTTCTTTCAAGTTGACTGAGAGCAGGCTTAGATGGTGGACAGCGAGAGTAACCAACAAGTGTGACAAGCCATCCAGATTAGAAAACAGGGGCCTTTTATGAACAGCGACCAGGGGGCTTACCGGCTCAGCCAGGTTTAAGACACCTTGTTCACCACAGCGGTCAACAAGGGGAAGTAACTCCCACATCACTAATGTCACCAGTGACCAAGCTGGCAGAAAGTCATCGAAACTGTATGGGTAAGAACATAGCAGTGACTCGATGAATTTTGCAAATATGCTCATTTATAATGCTGGATGGCAATTGCAAAATTGGTATTTAAGTGTAGGCTTTGCAATGTAAATATCCAGGGCATCGACTCCTGCAGGTTTTCTCTTTTATATAAGTCTTTATGTATTTCTATTTTCAAACATTCAAATTTCAAACAAAAATATCTACTGTTGCTATTGTGACATCAGAACATAATCTAACAAATACAGATACTTATGCAGACACTGACACCAGGGCAACACACAAGCAATAGGCCCCCTATTCTTCAAATACGAGAGATCATAATGCATATTTATAAACATTTTTTAGGGTGCCTCATAGTCGTGATCACTCACGCAGTCATTTCTACTGTGTGCAATCTAGCATGAGCTACAGACATTTCACTCTCCCACGAGTTTTGGTTCGATCCCCTGGGGTGGTGTCCTATGACATGGTGGTCCTTCCCCCACCCCCAACTCCACTCCCACCCCAGATTTTCCACCACCACATAGATCAACATTTGTTCTACAGTGAAGAGCTTGTGTTTGTTGTTGACAAATGTATACAACCTAAAATAAAGATAATTTATTTATTGATCATTTTTAATAAATTAACTCTAAAATAAGTCAAAGGTGGTGCTCAACACTAAGTACCCACTGAAAAAGGCTAAAAGGGTAGAAGGAACATTTTAAGTAATATCTAATACCAGGTACCGGTAATCAAAACGACTGACATTTAGCCAGGTGTCCATATAGAGGCTGAAATGCGGCCCAAATCTCAGGTTTATTCTTTAATATATAGTACTTTGTGCTTTGATGAACTGGGGAGCTGGGGGTTACGCTGCTTGTTTAAAAAATGTTTATAAAATGTGTGTATACAGGAAATGTTCCTGCTGCTGTTTTGGTGCAAATGGACCTGAACACAAAGTCTAACCATACTCAATGAAGCCCGAAATACAGGTCAACGTGACCTACATTTGATGTGTTTATGTATAATACGCCTCACACTGTATCCATATAGACATAAATGAAGCTTGATGACAGTTGGACTCCTAGTGTTAAAGTCTAACCAAGGTGTCTTAGGTACGTACTAACAGACCAACCAACAATGGAAAAGGCAAACTTTTACTGCCCCATCTACCAGGGTTTTTGTCAGATTATTTGGAATGCTCCTTCGATGGATTGTAATACTTTGAACATTACACATACACCTGGAAACTTGTATAAACATGCTTTTTAATCCAATTGGGAAAGCAAAGACTGAAATTTGGAAAATGTAGGATCTGCCATTTTTCAATTTGGAATGGGTCCCTATACCGGACCCTATAAACATGTCTTCTAAATGTGGCAGGGGGCATAAATATAGGAAAATCCTGATGTCAAGGTTGACAGAAACTGAGGAAAGATAACTCTGACTTACTCTGACTTCTGCTGCCAGAAGAACGGCTTGTTCATGCCTATTTCCTGCAGACTTTCCAAGGTTTTGGTCATGGTAGCACTGAACAAAAGAGTCTGTCGTTTCTTAGGTATCGCTTTAAATATGGCTTCAAGTTGTTCTCCGAAATCATCTTCTATCAGTCTGTCGGCTTCGTCTAGAACCTTAAATGTAGCATATTGAACATTAAGACATGCTTAAATTAAGTAACATATTAAACAGTTTAAAAATTAAAAAATAAATCATATTTCTTTTCAAGTGAAAAATTAAATCATTTTCCGATATCCTGAATAGTAACAGAAGCCTGAGAAGGGATGTCACCTTATCAAATTGTGATAAAATATTTGTAATGCTTCCGGTTTTCTATTAACTGATAACTTTGAAATTTGATCCTTTTTGAAGATATAAAATGTTTTACCCACCAGAATGGTTACAAAATCCAAAATGTTTCAAAATAAAATGACTTTATAAACAACTTAAGGTGGGTTTTTTTAAGTAAACAACTACTGACTCGATAAGAAATAAAGAATGCATTATAGAAGTGCCACTTACCAGAAATTTGATTTTCTTGAGACTGAAAGTGTCACAGCTCTGGATGTGGTCCGACAGACGACCAGGCGTGGAGATGACTATGTGAGGTTTGACCGCCAAGTCCAGACCTTGCTGCATCATATCTGTCAAAGGACATCACATGGTCAAGTCAACTCTGTCCAGGTACATACTTAATCTACCCGATATACTGTGACTGGGTCAGATGAAAACATAGCCTTTTTCTCAAATTTGATACAGTTTTCTAACAGAATCCAGAATAGAACTATGAAATATTTCAGCAACAATGGTTGAGCAAATATGTATGTAGTGCTTGATAACCAAGACCGATTACGAAAATTTTAATTATTATCCATTGAAAAATCTACACCAGTGTAGTAACACTGCATGCTGAAATATTTTGTTTACATATATATATACATATGTACTGTACATATATAAGTTAACTAGATTTACAAAATGTTCACATGATTGTAAACTGCATTTGAGAAGTTGAAAACAATCGGTAGATTACCGTCGGAGTTAACATATATATCTTTTTCTATTCTTGAGCTCAGACAAATATATTGTACAATTAAAGTACATGTATGTATTAAAATATCACATCTTTATCTGAAATTCACAAACATTATCTTGCATGAGCAAAAGTTATCATAAAATCAGACGACTGCTCAACCGCATGAATTTAATCTATGTTTCCTATAAGCAATGCAACAGTTCATTACGTAAAACATATATAGTACTAAAGGCTTATCAAGTTATTAACAATGTTAATTATTTGATTTCTGAATTTCTTTACCTAATCCTCCTGTTATGACTGATACCCGGATTCCAATTGGTTTCCCCAAGACTTTGAACTGCTCTGCAATCTGGAACGCCAGCTCCCTATAAAAACAGCACCAGTAAACAGGTGTAATATCGTCTGCTGGATAACTGAACTACTTGGTAGTCAGTCAATCAATCAACAGGTGTAATATCGTCTGCTGGATAACTGAACTACTCGGTAGTCAGTTAATCAATCAACAGGTGTAATATCGTCTGCTGGATAACTGAACTACTCGGTAGTCAGTTAATCAATCAACAGGTGTAATATCGTCTGCTGGATAACTGAACTACTCGGTAGTCAGTCAATCAATCAACAGGTGTAATATCGTCTGCTGGATAACTGAACTACTCGGTAGTCAGTCAATCAATCAACAGGTGTAATATCGTCTGCTGGATAACTGAACTACTCGGTAGTCAGTCAATCAATCAACAGGTGTAATATCGTCTGCTGGATAACTGAACTACTCGGTAGTCAGTCAATCAATCAACAGGTGTAATATCGTCTGCTGGATAACTGAACTACTCGGTAGTCAGTCAATCAATCAACAGGTGTAATATCGTCTGCTGGATAACTGAACTACTCGGTAGTCAGTCAATCAATCAACAGGTGTAATATCGTCTGCTGGATAACTGAACTACTCGGTAGTCAGTCAATCAATCAACAGGTGTAATATCGTCTGCTGGATAACTGAACTACTCGGTAGTCAGTCAATCAATCAACAGGTGTAATATCGTCTGCTGGATAACTGAACTACTCGGTAGTCAGTCAATCAATCAACAGGTGTAATATCGTCTGCTGGATAACTGAACTACTCGGTAGTCAGTCAATCAATCAACAGGTGTAATATCGTCTGCTGGATAACTGAACTACTCGGTAGTCAGTCAATCAATCAACAGGTGTAATATCGTCTGCTGGATAACTGAACTACTCGGTAGTCAGTCAATCAATCAACAGGTGTAATATCGTCTGCTGGATAACTGAACTACTCGGTAGTCAGTCAATCAATCAACAGGTGTAATATCGTCTGCTGGATAACTGAACTACTCGGTAGTCAGTCAATCAATCAACAGGTGTAATATCGTCTGCTGGATAACTGAACTACTCGGTAGTCAGTCAATCAATCAACAGGTGTAATATCGTCTGCTGGATAACTGAACTACTCGGTAGTCAGTCAATCAATCAACAGGTGTAATATCGTCTGCTGGATAACTGAACTACTCGGTAGTCAGTCAATCAATCAACAGGTGTAATATCGTCTGCTGGATAACTGAACTACTCGGTAGTCAGTCAATCAATCAACAGGTGTAATATCGTCTGCTGGATAACTGAACTACTCGGTAGTCAGTTAATCAATCAACAGGTGTAATATCGTCTGCTGGATAACTGAACTACTCGGTAGTCAGTTAATCAATCAACAGGTGTAATATCGTCTGCTGGATAACTGAACTACTTGGTAGTCAGTCAATCAATCAACAGGTATTAATAGGAGAGGAAAAACCCTTGCCAACATATACATCTCTTGTTGATGATGTCTTTATAAGGCCCGAAAGTCATCCTAAAAAAAACGTTTTGAATCAAACCTGGGACAAGAGGTTTATATACTTTGTCACTCAACCAAATCAGCTAAACTCTGCCTGGTGGATTGTAGCAAGTGGTCTGTATTTTACCAGGATGACATATACATCCCTCCAGGAACGAATTCCTGCCGAGTATTTTTAGTGTCACAGCCATTCTTGACAAAGTACATAAACCTTTTGTCCCAGGTTTGATTTCATACAGGGTTTTTTTGGGGTGAATTTGGGGCCTTATTAAGGCCCTTCAAATTCCCCTAGGTTATTTCTGCTAAGATCTGTATTTTCCAAACAATATGCTTTTTGTGGGTGATATTTTCCTTAAGTCACAAGGCACAGGCCCCTGTAGAAAGAAGGCAGAAAATCACTGCATAATAAAAAAAAAATATACCTTTGGTATTAAGTTTAGAAACTGAAGATGTCAAAAATGATGATGCTCTGCTATTCACATCAATGAGGAGATGCATGGTATATATATATATATACATGTATGTGTTCCTGGTTGAGGGCAGAAAACTAAAGTCATCAGTGTTCCAGATACATCCTCTATACTTCAGGGGTTACTCACACTTACGTTATCTGCACCCGTTGAACATGACAATATATGGAAGGCTTTGTGTACCACGTTGTGGATGAGACAATAAGACTAGTTTGATCTTTTTATGTACCCAGGTATATCATGCTTAGAATCTTGCAGTTGCATTATTGTAAAATTACTATTGCGTGTCACTCCTCTGTAATCTTCAAAAATGACAGGTATAAATTTAAACCTAACAATTAGTCATATATTTTTTACCTAGGAAAGTTCAAACAATCAAACAGCTAAATTATATAAGCTCCAAGACTTTAATTTTGCTATGACATATTCCAAGGGTGCAGAGAGTATAAGTGAGCATAACCCCTGGAGTAGTGAGGATGTTCGATTTCCAGATTTCATACATGGGAGGATTATAATATACATACCGGGTTGGAGTGAGAACTAGAGCATAAATCCCATATGGATCCTCCGACAGTTTCTGGAGTATAGGCAGAGCAAAGGCTGCTGTTTTACCACTACCAGTCTTAGCACAGCCAATACAGTCTTGTCCTAAAAATCAAGAAATGGAGTATAATTTATCACCAGGATTTTTACTGACATCCTTGATAGGACCATTCCCGATTAAAATTTGTCAAAAGTCTGATCTGAAAAGATCCTGCAGTGATTCATGGCAAGAAATTCAAATTTGTAAAAACATATATTTAATCACGTCAACAATCAGATATTGTTCAGGAAGCGTCCCGATTCAGAAGTTTGCAGCCAAATATTCCTGTCTGATTTTCCCGTTCTGAATCCGAATCTGATCCGATTTGTATCTTCCGCATAATAAAACACGACCGAATCTGTCCTGACAGCGTCCCGATTCTCCTGAATGCGATTCAAAAGAGATCAGACAGTGACCCTACGCATTCGGCAAGATCCTGACAACAAAGGACATTGTTGTGATTTTGAATCAATACAGCAGAATCTGTCACAACATAGTCACGATTGTAATCCGACGAGACCAAATTTGGCTGAGCTTCCAGAATATTACGGGACGCACCTTACTGTCAGGAGTGCTTGCATTGGCCGACCTCTCTGGACCTTCCCCGATCCGAAGGACTCTGTTGATAGGACATTCCAGATCATTAAGGATAGTAATCCGACTTTTTCACTTTTCGTGTCGTAGCGCTGTCTGATCTCAAACGGGAGCCACATAACAGATTACCACAATAACTGTAAAGTTAGTATAGTAACCTTAGTCAAAGTTAGTGCAACATTACAACATCGTCATCAAAAGTTGCACGGATGTTTGGAAAAAAGACCTCCTCACAACATTGCTTTTTGAGACGGGGATGTTGTGACCGGAATAGGATGTTTCCAGACATGTGCCAAATAAGTACAGGTTTTGTAAGTAACTTGTTTTTAAAATAACCTTGCATGTTTATTCCCCATTTCAGTAACAAAAATGTTACACAAACTGTTACCCAAATGCAGGATTATAACCATATGCGCCGCTGTGCCCATCATGTATGTGTGTGAACACTAATTTACTAAAGTACTCTCACTCGGTCTATTGTAACCACAGGGGTTCGTTACAAATTTTTAAAATACATATATATATATATATATATATATATATATATAAAGTCAGAATGCTTATGCTGTAATGATATGGATCACAGGTGTGTTGTGACCCATATCAGTATAAGCATATTATGTGTATTTCAGCCATTTGTAACGAACCCGTGCTGTACATTAACTGTCACATTGACTGTACTGTATATAGGGTTTTCGACTACTCCTATAACATTAGAGGCCGCTGGTCGGCCTTTTTTTCTATCGGATATGATTTTTGTCGACGCCTGTCAAAAGTATTTCGCCGTGTAAACCTCTAACACTGTTGGAGTAGGTTTTCGACGCGATATCTGGTACGTAGAACCCTATCCAATATACTTACCATTTAGAATTGGTGGGACACAGTTCACTTGGATCGGAGTGGGCTTACTTAATCCCATATTTTTACACTGATTGTACAGCCATGAATTTAAACCTAAGCATTTAAAAGTCTGTAATTTGGAAGTTTCACCACTACTGGAACTCGCCATGCTTGTTTTACTCAGTGTTGAGAAAGCGCTTGAAAAGATTGAAAAGCAGCAAAACGTTTGTACGAATATTCCGGAAGGATCCGTATATGTCCGATTGTGTTTCAGAAATTTTAGCTTAATCCAACTAAAATTTCAAGATTAGATTAGATAATCTCGAATTTCAAAATGAATATTGAGCTACGGTTCCATAATTACCAGTCTATCTAAGTCCGTGCCATTAGCTAGCCTACCAACGATTTCATCTGCTAAGTCGTCAAGTTATTTGTACTGTGAAGTGTGAACATCAATTAATTATTAGGTAAAATTTAATTTACGTAATTTATTGTAACGTTACAAGTCAAGACACGCGTAAAACATCTTTTATCAGACAACATTTACCTCTATTTAAAAAGTTAAGAATTGAATGAAGAAAGACTATGTCCGCCTCAAAATCTATATATCTGTATATTTTTTTAAACAATAATATTTATGAAATACTCACATTACAAAAAAATATCTTACAATAACAAGAGTTTCTGCCAAATCAATTCTCAAACCCCCTCATTCTTGGTATGATGCATGAAGATATAAATTTTATGAGATTTCCCTTTTCTCTAGTTAGCTACTTATTTATACTTTGCATAACAATTGCAACTTATGGGGTATTTTTCGAGACGTCGATTCGTCGTTTCAAAATTAATTGATGCGTTATGTTACAAAGATATCTCTTAAACACAATATTTTGGCTAATTGGCTAAAATTTCGTACATGTTAATACAGTGTTGGGATAATGCATACATCACTTGTCATTTGGTTGATGATGATGATGATGATGATGATGATGATGATGATGATGATGATATACAACATTTATATAGCGCCCTATATAATTTGTAAAATTACTCTAAAGGGCTTAACAACATATGGATAAAGGTATTAGTTATAATTGTGAAACAAAAATGGCTTACACCCACCATTATACATTAAGCAAGAGGATAATCATCTCAATGTGCACATCAATGAATAAATAAAGGGTGGTACATTTATGTACATGACGTCTGTGCAAATAGTCTAAAATGCAGAGGTGAAGAGGTGAATTTTGAAGTCCTAATTTGGCCAGGGTATTTAACTTTCTAATAGCAGATGGTAAGCTTATCATCATTGATTGGGTGACAGCTATAGGTACTCTTCAGTATAATTGTTATCACCACTAAATTAGGGTAATACAATAGAGTTTGTTTTATATCACTTCTCATTTGTCAGCTGAAAAACATGATATTAACAGGAACGTGACATTTTGAGAAATGTGTTTTTCTGACCTTTTCAGCTGTCAAAACCTTGAAGTGACCATATTTAAATGTCCAAGTGATATGGTGTTACAAAGAGGATCGTTCAGTATTTCTGTTCCCTCCTAACTGTACATGTAGTAATCTTACCTCCAGTCAATTTCAATCAAGCAAAAATTATAATGATAATAACAGATTGAGGTTCTTATATACCACTTTATCGCAACCTAAGTCACCCCAAAGCAGTTTACAAATTTAAAAAAAAAAAAAAAAAAAAAAAAAAAAAATCATTGACCAGTATGTTATTTGTAACAGCAGTTTAAATCAACCCTCCACTCGCTGATACTGTAAATTACAAATGTACTACCCCAAACACCAACATGTACTGTTCTGTAGCCTTCGACTCGTCCTTGCCTCTTGACATAGCACAAAATTATTTAATAACAAACTAAATGTAAGAACAATATCAGTTAAACGATGCATCAGCAGATTTTTAAACATTTCGTTAAGTTCATCGTTATCTTGTATCAGCAGTGGTAAATCTGTTCCTATCTATATAACATGTTTGACTGTTTGCCATGTCTTTGCCAAAGTTGTCACAGATTGTTCATATGATTCATAAAGGTTTTTTGCAATAACTATGTAATTTTGTTAAAACTGATGTGAGATTTACCATAAAATTCTGTTTTTATTTCTTCCAGGGTGAAAGTGATGATGTCACTCCTCCCTAAAAAGGTGCTACAGCACGGTCACGACGTCACAAAGGACATACTGGAACAAATCAAGAAAACTAAGGACAATCAAAATATAGTCAAATCAGGGCTAGAGGGCGGCCAGGAAAACATGTCTATTTGGGTATGAAGTCAGGGCTAGAGGACAGGCAGGAAAACATGTCTATTTAGGTATGAAGTCAGGGCTAGAGGACAGCCAGGAAAACATGTCTATTTGGGTATGAAGTCAAGGATATCTTTGATAATCAGGAGAATTGAGTATCATTGCTTTTTTTTAAACAAGCCCCAACAATTAGGATTAAGCACGGACTTGATAATCTAATTCGTGGATTAAGTGAGGAATGTTCAATGGGAGACAACTCGTAAAAAGTTTTAGATATCGGCGCCACGTGAATCTTTAAGTTGATACATCTACCACGTTTGTGATATAACGACATTATTCGATGATAGACCAGGTGCGTGCGTAATTTCCCAACAGACCAACGCTCTTCCAAAAACCTTCCCCACAAATTGAATTGTACCGTTACCAACAAATACATACATACATACATACATACATACATACATACATACATGTATACATACATACATGTACATACAATGTATGTACATATACATAGCTATATTTCTTGTGATATCTTTGTTAATGTATCATAACATGACATTATATACCAATCATCTGTTTTATCTCGTCACATCTTTCATATAGAATAGCATACACCTTTATAGAAATACAATCTTTGACGTCATTGATATTACAATTAAATAACCTGATAAAGAGAAGCATAATGCTGAAAAAGAAAAATCTTGTTTGAAAAAATGGCGAGGAAGAATATACTGACATACATGTGAACAAATAGCAACACAAGCTACTTTTTCAATTGTCTATACAAGTCCGTGATTATATATATAATATATATAAATGTTGTCGCTTTATATATTATCTATGTATACATGTTTTAACATAAATTCTGGAGAAGATCTATATGGGATTTTTCATTAAAACAATTAAATAAAATAAAGCCATTATGTTTAAAAAAAAAATGAGACATTACTTGAAGCTATCAACATAATATCATAGTGAAAATTACATACGAATTTTGTGACGCTGCAAGACATAGTATGTTCATAAAATGAATAAATCAATTTCATTTGAATCTTGAAATATGTACGAAATTGTTAGCGTACGTGTGTATAATTACCTTTATTCTGTTGCAAGCATGAAGTAGAACACACGGAACTGATAAGTATTAAATAAGATTAACAGCAGAAAATTTACCTTAAATATGTCATTCAACATCTGAGATAAAACGTTCTAAAGTAAACTTAATGTCAAGTAATGTGCCACCCATTCCCGAGTTATCTCCCGTTGTGGTCCTTGAACCCGGAAATTCCCAGAGCAATCCAGGAACTACACCGCCATAGAACGACCACAGTAATCAAGGTAAAGATTTGACAAGATTATGAGGTTAATAACGAACTTTTTATATTGAATTATTTATATTTATCATTTTAAAGTATTCAGATAAACATCATCAATTTCAACGCTGATCGTAAATCTATTTAAACAAAGGGTGTTATCAAAGATTGTATAAAGGCCAGCTGGTATGTATTTGGTAGGTCGATACAAAACGAAAGTACCTCCGATATTGCCTGATTAATCTTTGAAATAACAATTCTTCACAAATATTTTACGAAAAACAAACATGTGTGATCAATAATAAATCGACGTTGCTCATTGTGTAGGCTTTAATTCAAAGTTAAACCATTAAGTTAGAACAGTGTTGGGACTATTCTCAGACTGTACTGCTTGCTGTATCACATGACCTTTATTTCATGCCTGATCACAGGCGCTTGTATTAGGAATTTATGATCCTTCGACACTATACAGTTATACAATTTCGCGAGCAAAGGGTGTTCAATACGATACTCTCAAAAGGAGAGACTGAGTATCGTATTGAACACCCTTGGCTCGCGAAGTTGATAGTTATATATTTAAGGTATTTCATACAGGCTCATGTCAGTGTATACAGTATGAGATTGGCTCATAACTTTTCCTCAAAATGATAAAAATGTGGAAGTTGGTTGGTATACCCATGTCAGGGAAAATGTCAATAATGACCTTTGCAGATTTTTTTTGTTGAAAATATTGTTGACTTTGTCTGAAAAGTAACATTTGAATGCAGAATTTTAGTGGCGCAAAATTGCAATGAATAATGGAATTAATGAAAAAACTTACCTGAGAAAAATGTAAGAAAATGTGTCAAATCTCCAGAATATTGGCATAGTTACCTCCCATGGAACCTTCCTCACTTTATCCCAATCGATTGGGCTTGTTTCAATTTTACTAAAAAGCAATACTCATTATTTCCAGATCTTACCGGTATCAACAAAATGACAAGTGAGATATGCGTTATCCTAATTACAAATTAACATGTTATCACACGTGAATATTACCTGTGTTTAATTTAAACCAAATTATCTGGAATTATTTTATGCTAATTTACATTACATGTTGAGTGTTTCATGAAAATCTAGAGAGAGTTTATTCTAATCAGTTACAGGGATCAAGGGAGGTATATATGTATTTATTTAAATTATGGTCCCGAGAAGCAATACAGCCTGACAAAAAAAGCAATCCTGTCGTTTTACGTTAAACCCGCTACTCATTAGTAGACAATAATATTGTAATTATGACATCAACAGGACGAAGCAATCGTAATAATTTTAATATTGGTTGAAATGGTGTTACCACAATTTAGAAGGTCTCGGCTAGGGATTTTTAAACATATACAATTTTGGAATCAAGTTGATCTTTCTCCTAAACGAATATTATTTTCTGTACATCAGTTTTAAGCACGCCTGCAAAGATGCTACATTTACTTTCAACATGTCAAGGTCGTCACTTTCAAGGTGAAGGTCAAGGAAATGAAACACTTTTGGGATCCCGTTGGCCTGTCTACTAAACGATTATTCTTTTTATTTAACATAATGAAATAGACTTGCGTTACGTTTCATGTACAAACAAATTTCA